CATTCAACATTTGCCTCCAAACATGTGACCCTCCTCTAAACTGCACCACTGTTGGTATCTCTGTCTTGCAGTACTTATTCCATATAAAATTTGACCACAATTATTTTGTGGTCCTAAATATCCACCATTGCTTAGCAAATAGTGCCTTCGATACATCCACCAAAGACCTGAACCCTAATCCACGTTCTTCTTTGGGAAGACACAAGTTGTGCCATAAAGACCAATGCCTACTCCTGCCTTCTTTCTTTGTGCTCCATAAGAACCTTGCAAAGAGCTTATGTAGATGTTCTAGTACATTGTTAGGTGGATCAAGAACTGAAAATAAGTGCATTGGTATGCTTTGCAACACACTAGTAATGAGTGTAACCTTGCCTCCATATGATAATAATTTGCCTTTCCATGAATGCAGTTTTGCCTTTACCTTCTTGATAAGATCTTCATAATAATCCTTCCTTCTTCTAGTGTAGAAGATAGGACATCCCAAGTAAGTAAATGGGAATTCACCTTTATAAAATCATGTGGAATCACCTACTTCTTGAAACAAAGCATTAGCTACATTAGCATGCATATTGTAGGAACTCTTGGACTTATTGATAAGCTGGCCTGAAATCTTCTCATAACTGCCCAAGACTGCCATCACCTTCTTCAAAGAATCCAGATGAGCTGAGGCAAAGATGATGGTATCATCAACATATGCTATATGATTCAAAGGATTAGTCCACTTAGGCATCCCAAATCCAACAAAAGACTTATCCTCAAACAATTTATTCAAGGACCTTGATAACACCTCTGCAGATAGTATGATCAAGGCAGAAGAAAGTGGATCTCCTTGCTTAACACCCCTTGTGGATTGGAAAAAACTTGAAAATTGCCCATTCACCAAGACTAAGTATCAATTATTTGACAGCAGGTTCTAGACCATGTTAATAAAATGCTCAACAAATCACATCTTCCTTAGCACATGCAACAAATATTTCCATGAAACCCTATCATATGCCTTGGTCATGTCTAACTAAATCACCACATTAGCACGCTTAACCCTTAGCCTTATGTTAGTGACAATCTCTTGTGTGAGAAGTATGTTCTACAAAAGGCTCATTTCTTTCACAAATCCAAATTGATTAGGTAAAATCAGTAAAGGCAAAAACTTTTCAAGTCTATCATGAAAAATCACCTTGTTGATGAAGTTACTCAAGCTTATAGGTCTCAAGTCTGAAAATGTTTGCACCCTTGGCTTCTTTGGCAGTAAACCAAGTTTGTATGTGCGATGGACTTAGGCAAAGATGCACCACCATAAGAATGTAGTACCATACTGTGTATGTCATAGAGAATGATCTCCCTACACTCTTGATAGAATGTCCTAGTGAATCCATCAGGACCACTAGCACTATCACCGCTAAGTTCAAAAATAACTCCCCTGACCTCCTCAAGTGTAGGATACCTACAAAGCTCCAGGTTCTGCTCCATAGTGACCATAGAAGGTACATTATTTAGTAAAGAGAAATAGGTAGGATCAGCCTCTTTAGAGAACTATCTCTAATTGAAATCCACTGCAGCATTAGCGATTTGATCATGATCTTCCACCCAATCCCCATCTTCATTCTGGATCCTATTCAATTGAAGATTCTTCCTCTTGCCATTGACATGGTTGTGAAAGAAACTAGTGTTTCTATCACCCTCAGCAAACCATGTCATTCCTGCCTTTTGCTTTCAATTGTTCCTCAATACTCAAATACTTTTTCAATTCTACTTGAGCCTTTTGAAGAACAATCCTATTGTCAATGGTTGGTTCCTCCTCAAACAACATCTCCTTCACCTTTACAATATCCTCCAGTATTGCTAATTACTTGAAGATGTTTCCATATGTGCACTCTTCACCTTTTTCAACTTGTGTTTGAACATGAGAAAATGATCACCTATAAAGTCAACATGCCAATTCTGCCTCACCATCTCTTTGAATGATTCATGCTTGGTCTAGAAGTTCAAAAACCTGAATGGTTTGACATAATTTGTGGCATGTTGTCTACAAATTAAGAATAAATGTGCATGATCAGAGCCTGTTCATATCGAGTGTTCCACTTCAATTGTAGGAAAAAGATTTTGAAATGGCAAGTTCACAAATATCCTGTACAATCTTTTAAAAATGCACTCAACATTAGTTCTACCGTTCCACCAAGTGACAGGACTCCCCTTGAACCCTAGATCAAGGTCCTCATAAAAAAGCAAAGTCCTCATACTCTGGAGGATGTACTGGCAAGCCACCAATCTTCTCATCCTCATGAAGTACCACATTAAAGTCTCCACCTACCACCCAATGCAACTCCATATTACTTGCAAGGTAATACAAATTATCCCACAACTCCAATCTCTCAAGTGCAGAACACTTTGCATACACAATAGTCATCATAACATGGTGTCCAATGTCTTGATGAAATATTTAAATTGTTACCTGCTGCTCAGTCTCCATCACAAGTTCCCATTCCTTACAACATCAATAAACAGCCAAATCTTACCATTAATATTTGACACAACTTCCATGTTTAGTCTTCTCCTATACCCCTCAATATGTCTCAAATTTTGAAATGGTTCCATCAAAGCAATCACAAAGAATCCTTGTTCCCTTTGCATGTTGATCACCCTCTAAAAGGATTGTTGAGTGTTCACAGACCTTATGTTCCAAATCAAAGCTTTGATCATCATTTAGTTTGTGAAACTACCCCTTTGGACAATGATGTTTGGCGATAAATACATATTTTTAGTGCATTGCTTACCTTATATTTTTTCAATGATTAAATGTGCGACGTTTGGGCTTAATTGTGTCGTTTTTATGTGTAGGAGCATTGGAGGATGAAAATCCTTAAAGGTTGCACACAAGGATGTCAAAGATACACAAAAAGAGCACGAAAAGACAAAAATCGGACAAACTCCAGAACCAAGCATCAGGCCAGGCGATGCCTGGTCTTGGGCGCGGTATACCAGGTGCAGGAGTGGGCTAAGCTTGCTCTGAGGCGCTGTACACCAGGCCTCGCGATCTTTGAGGCCTGGTCCTTTCCTAATCCGTGCATTAGACGTGTTCTACTTGGATTTTGGCTTGGGGACTCCGAACCTCACTATTAATACCCCCTAAATGTGATTAGTGAGGGGTTGGTCAATTTTTGATGCAAGCAAAGGCAAAGAAACACAAACGGAGCACGAAATTCATCATTCTTCCATCTTCCATCAAGTATTCATAGGTTTTATATTTAAACACAATATTTTGAGTATTGTCATGAATATGAGTGGCTAAGAACATCATTATTCTGGGTTTATGGGTTATTATTGACTATTGTAGTTTGACGGTTGATAATATTGTTTGATTTTATCACATTAATTTTTTTATTCAATCTAGCACTTAATTATTTTATTGCATAGCTAACAATAGAGTGCTATCTATGAATCTATTGTTGAACTCGAAAGTGAGAACTATAAATTGCATATAAGATTGAATAGAGTAAGTTCTTGAATTCGGGCATCGGAGAATAGATTCGTGATTAGGATAGACATATTCTAGTTGCCTTACTTGGTTATATTTACAGTAAATACACATGCATTCTTGTTAATTCTGATTCTGTAGACACATAGTGTTAGGGTTGGCTTGAATAGGTGAGTGGAGCGTTGAAAGAACTTCGTGAGCAAAATAAACCTTGTTAATCAACAATTTAGATAAATCAAGTGATTAAATCAATCGAAAAAATGCAATAGGAGAGACATTAATCCAATAAACCCAGAATATTCCCATCTCATTGAATTCTTCTAAGTGTTTATTTTTTCTACTTGCGATTCTCTTATTTGCTTATTAGTTCATAGTACTTTAGTTAGTAAAAACCACAATCATCTTCTTCAAAATATCTTGAACAAATAACTCGTAACTAGTTTAGTTTAGGAAGTAGTTGATCATAAATCCTCGTGGTAACGATACTCTCTCATCACTTTATTACTTGTCGATCACGTATATGTAGGTGTGCGTTTGGACCCAACAAGTTTTTGGCCCGTTGCCGGGATTTAGAAATTATCCATTTGTCTAAAATAAGCTTTTATATTTTTGTTTCTTCGAGTTTTATTTTGTTTTAGTGTTTCTGACACTATAGGTGTTCACCTTGAATGCTAAGAAGAAGTAACAATATGAACAATCTTCCTCTTCCTGTTCCTGAACCCGAAAGACTCCTCCATATGTTAAGGAGGGAGGTGGAAGAAAGAGCAAGAATTGCAAAGATGGGCATTGTAATCCAACCATAACCAATAAAGATGGCAGAAAACGAAGAGAGACCGATGATTGAAGCCGCAAGGCCTAGTCTCGCGAACATGAATTAGGCTATCATGAAGCCTGATATAACTAGGCACTTTGAGCTGAAACATTACATGGTACAACTGATTCAATCCACAAGGCTATTTGTGGGGTTGTCAAGTGAAGATACCCAAAGGCATATACAAAATTTTTTGGAGATTACGGATACATATAACTATCCGAACGTTTCCAAGGACTATGTCACACTAACTTTGTTTCCCTTTTATCTAATGGGGGAAGCAAAGGAATGGTTAAACAAAGAGCCCGCATACTTGATCCACACTTGGGATGATCTAGCACAAAAATTCTTAATCAAACTTTTTACCACGAAGAAGACAAAGGCACTGAGGAGCCAAATTCTTGGGTTTCAACAACGAGATGGTAAGGCTCTTCGTCAAGCTTGGGAAAGATACAAGAAACTACTCAGAGATTACCCACATCACTGTCAGACTGATGAAGTCCTGGATCATACTTTGTTGATGGGTTAGACGAAGCATCCAAGATGAATCTTGATTCAGCCTGTGGCGGTAGTTGCATGGCTAAGCTGTATACTGAAATCCAGATGCTGCTGAATAAATTTATGGCTAATGATAACAATTGGCAATGAGACGGGGAACCACAGAGAGAACTTTAACAAAAGGTTATAGGTGTTACTAGGCTTGATGATTTCTTAGCCATGAGAACTGATATAGCAAAGTTAGCCAATCAGGTAAATAAAATGACGATGCAACAAGCGCAGCCGATGCAGTAGGTGCAACAAATTTTTACATGTTGTGAAATTTGTGGAGAAGGTCACATGAGTGACCAATGTCCGGTGAATCCCGAATCTATTTATTAAATGGGCCAGCAAGGTAAAGGTCCAATGAAATAGAACACACAATATAGGAACACCTATAATCCTAACTAGAGGAATCACCCGAATTTCTCATGGGGTGGAAAGCAGGCCACTCAAAATCAATACAGGCTTTAGGGGAACTATAATCAGCCTCAAAAGCCACCTCAACAAGAAGATGAAAGGACTAATTATATGTTGAAAAAGCTGTTAATTGACAACCAGCAATTGAGGACAGATTTTCAAAATTTAGAAAGGTAGATTGGGCAGTTAGTTGCACAACAAAATACCCGACGTACTGGAGCACTCCAAGTGATACTGAGAAAAATCCCATCGAATAGGTACAAGCAATTAAACTAAGAAGTGGGAAAGCATTGGAGGAGCTGCCACCTAAAAAGTATGTGCCTAAAGAAGTTTTTGAAAGATTGGTACCACAACCAGAGGTAGAAGCTGAAAAGAAAGATGATGAACACATGCAAGAGATTGAGGCAAGGCCACCACCGCCTTTTCCTCAAAGGTTGCAAAAGTCGAAAGATGAGTCCAAGTGCAAAAGTTCTTAGATATCTTGAGCTAGGTGCGGGTGAATCTACCTTTGATTGAAGTTCTGCAAGAAGTTCCTAAATATGCCAAGTACTTGAGAGACATTGTGGCCAATAAAAGAAGGTTGACAGTGTTTAAAACGGTTGCACTTACTGAAGAGTTTAGTGCTAGAGTACCGAGTAAGATCCCGCCTAAGTTGAAGGATCCAGGTTATTTCACAATTGCCTTGGCGATCAGAAAACATAAGGTTGGTAGAGCCTTGTGTAATCTGGGAGAGAGCATAAATTTGATGCCTTTATCTATTTTCAAGAAGCTCAAATTGGGAGCACCTAGGCCTACTACTATGACTCTACAACTAGTGGATCAGTCATTAGCAGTGCTTGAAGGAATAATTGAAGATGTGCTGGTGCGAGTGGGGAAGTTTATCTTTCCCGTTGAGTTTATTATTCTTGACTACATGGCCGATGAGGAAGTTCCAATTATTTTGGGGAGACCATTATTGGCCACTGGAGGAGCACTTATTGATGTGAGGGAACACAAGCTAAAGATGAGAGTGCATGATAAAGAAGTTGCATTTAATGTGTACAAGGCACTCAACCTGCCCAAGCATTATGAGGACTTGTGCATGATTTTGGTGATTGAACCAAAGGTAATAGAGCCCGGGATTGATGTGAGTGTTGATGATATCACAAAGAGAAGTGAGCCTGAAAAACTTCAGTTGGTTAAAAATGTAAAATTGTGTAAGAGAAAGATAAAGAAGTTGCGTGACAAGAACCTTGCGCATTGTGAGTTTGAGCCAGGTCAATCCGTGCTTGTGCTTAAGTCAAGATTGAAGCTCTTCCCTCAAAAGCTCCAGACTTGATGGTGTAGTCCATTTGAGGTAGGTTGTGCTACAAGGCATGGCGATGTGGAACTTAGGGATCACATACATGGTGACACATTTTTCGTCAAAGAGCAAAGAGTCAAACACTATTGGAGTGGTGGTGTTTGTTGTCACCAAACTTTGATAAACTTGGTGGATGATTGATGGAACATTTTGCGTTGCAAGGTGAAGTCTGAGTAATATTGATTTAGTTGAAGGACCGTGTGTTGTGATCGTAAGTGTGGGGTCGTTATGACCATATGTTGAGCTGATGAGGAGGATCACAGAGGATGACCAGGAAGTTTTATTACCATCCTTATGGATTTTAATTGCTTTTATATGCACTAAGGACATTGCATACTTTAAGTGTGGGGTGAAAAATTCTCTGCGGATTGTACATTAGTATATTAGTATCTTCTAGCTTCTTATTTTGTTTTTGTAGTAGAGTAGTATCTTAGTAGTAGTTTTAATAGCTTAATTATAAGGAATTTTATTTTTTTGAAAAACTTCGGACTTTTCCCGACGATGGATCTCTTAGGCGGTTTTCTTGAGGGATTAAATTCTACAAAAAAAAATTTAAAAAACAAAAAAAATCCCAAAATATGTCTTTTATTTTCCTTTAGGTAGTAATAATCCCCCGTGTTTTTTCTTTGTGCCTCAGTTCTTTTTCATGGGATGTAGTTTGAACCGGATAGTTTTTTTTTTGAGTAGATTAGAATTTAGGAAATAAATGGAGGAAGAATGATGAACCTAGGCGCCTTTGTCTTGTTTGATAGTAGCATATTTAGGCTTTGACATGTATAATATCTTCCCTATGTTTTGAAATTGAGCATGATGCCTTTATATATTGGATAGCATGTCTTGTGACGCCTATGTCTCTTTTACTTGACTATTGTTCACTTTGTGCTTAATGCTTAATATATTGTGGCTCTATGAATACTTGCATTGTTTGAGAGTCGGAATGAGACCGTCCTTGGTGAGTCATATGCCATGTGTGGTAAGGTTTTTATGTATTCCATGTTATTGTGCTTGAGTCTAGAACTTACCCGGTATGTGAGTTGAAGCAAAATTTTAGGTGATGCTCGATTTGAAAAATGATTTTAGGCCTTCTTTGATCTTTTCGAGCTTAATTGCTTATCACAAATAAAATCTATCCCTAGTAAATCCTTTTGAGCATATAGAATTTTATTCGGCATCCACATTACAAGTCCGTATCCCTTTTGTTTCTTAATTGACATTATTTTGATCCTTTTACCTCTTAAAGTACTTTAATTGTGAAATAAGCGCTAGAAGAAGTAAGGAGGGAATTTGGGTGGCTTTCGAGTGGAACCAATGAAAGGAATAAAGGTGCACTTATTTTGTAAAATAATACACCGCTAGCGAAAATTGAAAAGGAAAAATAATAGAAAGAAAGAAAAAAAAGAAGAAAGAAAAATCTGAAAAAGAGAGAAGGAAAACTATAGGTGAATAAATTGTAGTCTTGTTCTTGCTAGTGGTGTATAAAGTAATGTAGTGCTTAAAGAAAGAGGGAATAATTTTGGGGAGTGATCTTGTTTGTAAAATTAAAGTGGATTGAAGAATTTGCGCTTAAAGTTATTATGTGATGTGTAAAGTGCTTAGGAGGGTGAACCACTAATCCTAAATATATCCTACCCGTCCCGTTGCCCATATTACAACCATATAAAGTCCTAATTGATTTTAGATTGTGTGATCCTACATTAGGAAGTAGGAACCATATAAAGCACTTATTTATGGGCAAGCCTATGGTACAAATTGCATGCATGTGACTTCTTTGTGAGAGTGAGAGACTTCTTTGATATATGTGAGTCCTTAAAATATATTTGATCATGAGATTCGAATGTGTGGATTCAACTTACTCTCTTGTTCTTGTTATGATGGCACATGGTTTCGCAAGGGATAAGTAATGTTATTAGACTTCTCTGTGATGTTGGGTGTTCAAGTCGTGAGCGCATTGTGATATTAAGTCGGTTTTTGAGACGAGGATTGTTATAAGAATGTTGTCTTTGTTGTGAATATTTCTTTTGAAAAATGGCATAAGAAAAGGGAGTGTTTGTAAGTGCATATGCTCAAGCTTAATTGTTGCTATCAACCGTAGTCATTGGTGTAGTGTGCTTCGATTGTGTAAATATAAAGTGCTCAAGAATAGTGTAATCTGTTGGTTGACTTGAGGACAAGAAATATTTAAGTGTGGGGTAGTGATGTTTGGAGATAAATGTATATTTTTAGTGCATTGCTTACCTTACATTTTAATACTTTAATGATTAAATGTGTGATGTTGGGCTTAATTGTGTCGTTTTTATGTATAGGAGCGTTGGAGGATGGAAATCCGTAAAGGTTACACACAAGGATGTCAAAGATACACAAAAAGAGCACGAAAAAGCCAAAATTGAAAGAACTCCAGAACCAAGCACCAGGTCAGGCGATGCCTGGTCCTGGGCGCGGTATACCAGGCGCTCGAGTGGACTAAGCTTGCTCTGAGGCGCGTTGCACACCAGGCCTCGCGAGCTCTGAGGCCTGGTCCTTTCTTAGTCCGTACAGACATTTTCTACTTGGATTTGGGTTTGGGGATTTCATCCCTAACTTATAAATACCTCCTAAACGTGATTAGTGAGGGGTTGGTCAATTTTAGAGGCAAGCAAAGGCAAATAAATACAAACAGGGCACATAATTCATCATTCTTCCATCTTCCATCTAGTATTTATAGCTTTTATGTTTAAAAATAATACTTTGAGTATTGTCATGAACATGAGTGGTTAAGAACCTCATTATTCTAGGATTATGGGTTGTTATTGACTATTGTAGTTTGACGGTTGATAATATTGCTTGATTTTATCATATTAATTTGTCTATTTAATCTTGCACTTAATTATTCTATTGCGTAGCTAACAATAGCGTACTATCTACAAATTTATAGTTGAACTCAAAAGTGGGAACTATAGATTGCATATAAGATTGAATAGAGTACGTTCTTTAATTCGGGCATCGGAGAATAGATTCGTGATTAGGATAGACATATTCTAGTTGCCTTACTTGGTTATTTTTGCAGTAAATACACATGCATTCTTGTTAGTTCTGATTCTATAGACATATAGTCTTAGGTTGGCTTGAATAGGCGAGCGAAGCATCGAATGTACTTCGTGAGCAAAATAAACCCTACTAATCAACAAATTAGATAAACTAAGTGATTAAATCAATCGGAAAAATACAATTGGAGAGACATTAATCCCATAACCCCAGACTATTTCCCATCTCATTGAATTCTTCTAAGTGTTTGTTTGCTCTACTTGCTATCTTATTCTCGTATTTGCTTATTAGTTCGTAGTAATTTAGTTAGTAAAAACTACAATCATCTTCTTCAAAATCTCTCGAATAAATAACTCGTAACTAGTTTAGTTTAGGAAGTAGTTGATCATAAATCCTTGTGGAAATGGTATTCTCTCATCACTTTATTAATTGTCGATCACGTATACTTGCGTGTGTGTTTGGACCCAATAGACAAGATTCTTGTAGGTTGATGTACTTCTTTAGTCTGACCTTGATTCTTTCATTTTTAGCACTTCTACCAGTAGCTCTAGGTGATAGGTCTGCCTCTCTTGCCACTGCCTTGAAGTTCCCTGCAGTTGATTCATCCTATCCTTCCTCCTCAAGTTGACTTTGTTCTATTACTGCATTCTAAATTTCCACAGGAGTAACATTTTGTGTGATAATGTCATGCATGATTTGGTCAGGTGATTTCAATGGCACATTAACTTGAATTTGCACAGCCTTCCATTGGATCATATGACAACATGTTCACCTCGTTAAACACCATTGCATTCTGTTCCTTACCACTCAGTGCCTCCTGTACCACCTTAAACTGTAAATCATACAATGTCCCTAAGCTAGGGTTCGCTGTAGCATTAGATGCAGGAATTACAGTTTCATTAGTTTCATGAGCCTTGCCATCAACTGTTTGGTTCTGGGACCTCACTGTATAATGTAAGATTATTATTGGAGCATTATTAGTGGTCTAACACCTTCACCCTCCATAACTTGAGCTGCAATTGAAGCAAAATTCTAGACAGTGTTCCTAGGGTTCACTGTAGCAACACTTGCAGGAATTACTGTTTCATTGAGATCAAGGGTCTTGCCATAAGTTGTTTGTTGGTCAGACCTCACTATATCCTCTAAGACCTTAACATTACCATTAACAATCTGATCACCACTCTACCGGATCACCTCCAAAAGTAGCAAAAACTTGAACAATTCCACTAGGGTTTACTGTTCCATTGGTGTTCTTCTTCCCAGATGCATAAACAACTGATCCACCTGTGATTATATCATCCCTTAGTGCTCCTTTCTGAAATCCACTTGGTTGGATTGCTTGTTGTTTCCCTGTTCCTTGAATAAAATAAACCCTAGTTTTCTTCCCAGATGCATCAACAACTGATCCACCCGTGATTAGATCATCTCCTAGTACTCCTTTCTCAAATCCACCTGGTTGCATTGCATTTTGTTTCCCTGTTCCTTGAATAACATAAACCCTAGTTTTTTTTTGAAAACTAAGGTTTACTATAGCATTGTCCTCAATAGTGTTAGTTTGTTTTTCCTGTGTGTTGCTGAATTGATCTTTGGTCCTAGCACTTGAATTAGCATCAGAAATATCCTCCATAAGCTCCACTTCATCACTCCACAAAGCATTGCCATTGTTTGTTGCTCCAGTGTGCTCTAATGCCTTTGATGATTCTTCCATCGTTTGTGAGGGTACATCATGATGCGAATGGTTCATGGTGACATTCAATATCTCTTTAGGATCCCCAAACCTTCTTTGTACCCAATCAATTGTCCTTTTCTTAGTAGCCTCCACCCCAATCCCTATAGAAATAAGATTAGGGTGACAATTCTTTGCCGCTACAATAATCCCAGTGGTCTTAGGAGTGGAGGTGGAATTTTGAATATTCTCTAGTTGCTTCTTCTCCCGGTCCTCCTTGGATGCATTC